AAAGCTGTAACTTTAGATATTAATTGTATACGGACTACTTGATTAACTACAAAGCTGTAACTTTAGATATTAATTGTATACGGACTACTTGATTAACTACAAAGCTGTAACTTTAGATATTAATTGTATACGGACTACTTGATTAACTACAAAGCTGTAACTTTAGATATTAATTGTATACGGACTACTTGATTAACTATAAACTGTCATCTTTGATGTTAATTGTATATCATGAAAGAAGATGCCAAAGTGTACTTGAAAAATCTTTTCTGTCTCTCCTAAGGCTCTTTGGAACTTGTGCTTTCCCTAAAGCTATTTAGAATTCTGACCTCTTCCCTAAATCCTTCTTTCTGATATGAAATGACCAATTAAAATCTGTGCTTGAAATACAATTTGCCATTGTAGGGGTTATGGATTAACTACCCCCCCCCCCCCACTCCTCATATAGTGCAACATATAGTTGTTTTATTACATAAATACTATCTGACCTGCTTCTACTTTGTCAACCTTCCAGTCAACATTACGAGTCCTGGTATTGGGCAAAAAACCTCATTGTCACTGATTATAACATATATTCTGAATTGTTGTTTACACCTTCTTTACTTTCACTCGTAAGTTCTTAAAATGAGCTCGAGGAATGTGTTTTTGCAGTTTATGAAGGAACTGTTTATTAATTGACCACCTCAATATAATCTTGCTGTCGACAGGGCTGCAGCGATGACACTACGAACGGTGCTGCTCTCTCTCCAGGCACTGCTGTCGGCAGCCGAACCAGACGATCCGCAAGACGCAGTCGTTGCTCGTCAGTTTAAAGAAAACCCAGACATGTTCTGGCTTACAGCCAAACATTGGAGCCATGCTTATGCTGGTGGTGAGTGAAAGATTGGAAATTCATATCACAATTTAGAAATTTAGCCATAAACTTTCTTTTTACATCGTAACTCGTTGTTTTTCCTAGGTTGTCTTATATTTGCACAAATTAAAGCATTCAGTGAAACTCTGGGGTTAAAATGTGAGGAAGTTTTCATCCATGACCGTTGTCATTAAGCAGTGATAAACATAATTAAGTACTTTTAACTTCTAGTGGCAACAATAAATTATGTTTAATACAGTTGGTTGTTGCTACATATATGGTACGAGTTTAATTTTCTTTATGACTTCGGAAGTTTCTTGTTTCCCATTGCTTCTTATCTTTGATTTCTTCTACTGCTACACTAGGTTTTCTAAATTACATCTCTGAACTGCATTGATTTCCTTAAGAACTGATTTTGGCCTAAATGACTGCTTTGTAAATCTGTTGTTGTGTATTTGTAAGTTTGAAACAGTTAATTTATTCTGACTGTAAAACTATTGTTTATATTGTGGAAAAGAGTGCAGCTTGTTGTTGTATATTCAAACCATAGTTTTTGTTGTTAACTAAACATTCTATTGGTTGATGATCTTAACAGTGTAGAAGCCTGAATGTGATGGTTTTTGTTACCAAAAGTGTCTGTTTGAATGTGATGGTTTTTTATTACCAAAAGTGTCTGTTTGAATGTGATGGTTTTTTGTTACCAAAAGTGTTTGTTTGAATGTGATGGTTTTTTGTTACCAAAAGTGTCTGTTTGAATGTGATGGTTTTTGTTACCAAAAGTGTTTGTTTGAATGTGATGGTTTTTTGTTACCAAAAGTGTTTGTTTGAATGTGATGGTTTTTGTTACCAAAAGTGTTTGTTTGAATGTGATGGTTTTTGTTACCAAAAGTGTCTGTTTGAATGTGATGGTTTTTGTTACCAAAAGTGTCTGTTTGAATGTGATGGTTTTTGTTACCAAAAGTGTCTGTTTGAATGTGATGGTTTTTGTTACCAAAAGTGTTTGTTTGAATGTGATGGTTTTTTGTTACCAAAAGTGTCTGTTTGAATGTGATGGTTTTTGTTACCAAAAGTGTCTGTTTGAATGTGATGGTTTTCGTTACAAAAATCTATTGTACTTGAGCT